ACGAGGTCTCTCCAAGTTGCCCAGGTGGGTCTCGAACCCGCGGGCTCAGGCAATCCACTCTCCTCAGCCTCCCAAAGTACTGGGATTACCATCTGAGCCACCCAGCCCAGTTTAAGAAAAAAAATGATCTTTAACCCAAGTACACACATAGGCTCGAAAAACCTCAGGTCTGGAAAAGAAGAAGTGCCCGTGACTTGGCCAAAAGATCCTTCCTGTGACCAAGACATCCCTATGCTGGGAGGATGGTGCATGTTTGCACAGCCGGAACACCTTTCATAGGTATCCCTACGGGAATGGCCGAATTATGTGAACGTGAAGTGAGAGGGTAAGATCTTTGGAAGCACCCAAGGCAGTGGGGGCCCAGAGAGAGAGAGAGCCATGAGCTGAGTCCAGATGCCCGTAGATGGATGACAGGTAAGGAGGGAAAAGCTGGAAGAAAAAAAAATCCACTTTCCCTCCTCATCATGAAAAAAACACCATTTGGTCACTTCACTGCCTGGGACACACTACTGGATTCTAGGTCTAAGAATTCTCCCACATGCCCCCAAGTTTTCTGTGGAGAGAAGGCCAAAAGAGAAGAACCAGACAGGATTCTTCGCAGGCAAGGCAGGCAACAGGGGGGCATCCGTCCAATCCCTACGGAGGCACAGTGGGGGGCTGTCAATGAACAGGTCAGTTCGCCTTCTGCCAAGAAGCAGAGACGAGGTGAACCTGCGGCAGCGACGGGGCCGACGAGGTGTCTTTCCTAGGAAATGATTCCGATGGCTTCTTCGATTCCTCCTCCTTGGAGGGAGAGAACAAGGAGAAAGAGTGAAAGAGAAATTTACACTTCAGAATTTATTTATTTGCTTGTTTGTTTGTTTGTTTGCATAGAGATGAGGTCTCGCTATGTTGCCCAGGCTGGTCTTGACCTCCTGGGCTCCAGCGATCCTCCCGCCTCGGCCTCCCTAAGTGCTGGGATGACAGGCGTGAGCCACGGAGCCCAGCTAACACTTCAGAAATGAACAGAAACTTCTCGGTTACCTAGAAATGACAAGCTGGGAGTTCTGTAAGATCCAAAGTTTGGTAAAGATGCCCTAATAGCTGACTTTACAACTTTTTCACCCCCCCAAAATCACCGTCTGTAATGGTTGTTTTAATTTATCTTTTCGCAGACATTACAGGGACCTTCCTGTGGTCCCAGGCAATATTCTGAGCACTGAACTTACTTGGCATCCTTTGACTCTCGTGATGAGAGCTGCAGTAGCTACCATGACTTAGAAGCTCCATGTTCCAAATAAAACTTCTCTCCCTCTGCTCCCCCCCCATTGGGGTCTCACTCTGTTGTCCAGACTGGAGTGCAATCACACTATCGCAGCCACTACAGCCTCCACCTTCAGGGTTAAAGCTGTCCTTCCACCTCAGCCTTCCAAGTAGCTGGACTATAGGCAAGTACCACCATGCCTGGCTAATTTTTCAATTTTTTTTATAGAGACGAGGTCTCACCAAGTGGCCCAGGATGCTCTTGAACCCCTGGGCTCAGGCAGTCCTCTCTCCTCAGCCTCCCAAAGTGCTGGGATGACAGGCGTGAGCCACCATGCCCAGCCAAGTTCATACCTCTTGTAACAGCTCTGTGGGCATAGTGTCAAGGAAGAAGCCCCGGTTACAAGAGTCACAGCACTCAGGAATCTATGGCTTCTGACCAAAATTCTTAGATTCTACTCCTAGTGTTTCAAATCTAGATAATTTAACAAAGCAGAGGTCATTTTAAAAAAAACCATATACAACTTTCCAGTCTTTTTTTTTTTTTGAGTTGGAGTCTCACTCTGTCGTGAAGGCTGGAGTGCAGTGGCACACTCCCAGCCACCGCAGCCTCCACCTGCTGGGCTCTGGTGATCCTTCCATCTCAGCCTTCCAAGTACTGGAACTACAGGCATGTACGACCATGCCCAGCTAATTTTTGATTTATTGTAGAGATGAGGTCTCGCCAAGTTGCCCAGGAGGGTCTTGAACCCGCGGGCTCAGGCAATTCACTCGCCTTGGCCTCCCAAAGTGCTAGGATGACAGTTGGAGCCACCGAGCCCAATCTAGCCTTCCAGTCTTTACCCAAATGTCATCTTCTCAATGAAGTGCCTCATGGCTGCCCAATGACATCTAAATGCCCCACGTGTTCCTTGATGGCTCTCCATGGCTCTGTTTCTTGGGTAGCATACATCCCTTTCCAATATGCTATAACTTTCGCTTTTTGTGGCTTGTTGTCCAGCCCCCACCCCACTAGAATGTCATCTCTGTGAGGGTACAAACGCCCGTCAGTGTGGCCACTGGTGTTTCACCTAAACGATGCCTGGGCAAAACTGATCTATTTAGAGTGGGCAATAAATCTTTGTGACATGAATGTTGTTAAATAAATGTAAAGTTTTTTTTTTTTGTTAAATATACTTTGGGTCTTTGTGGAAGGAAGAAAAGGAGAGAAGGAGGGAGAAATAATGAAGAAGAGAATCAGCAAAGAGAGAAAGAAGGAAAGAAAGAAACTGAGAGAGAACAAGAAAAAGTAGAGGGAGGGAGGGAGGAAGACAGAGTTTTTTTTTGTTTGGGTCTCAAAAACTGGAAACTACAGCTGCATAAAGCAGGAACCTGACATGTTTTCCCTTCTTGCAGCTCAAGGAACCAGAAAGTTCCTGGAAGCATAAGCTGTTGGGCTCTGCCCTTCAGAGGAGCCGATCTTACCACTTTGGTGTGGGTGGTTGAGCGAGACATCTCCGTGCTTTCAGTTTTGACTCCCTTCCGCATCCCACTCAGCCATTGCTTGTATTCCATCCGCACCTGGAAGTTTGAGAATTACAGAGTCTCACGTCACCTCCAGAGCTTGGTTCAGGGGAAAGGACGCTAACATGGGAGACTAAAGATGAAGATGCCAAGCCCTACTCTCTACTACTCTGCATTCGTTTTCTGTGTAATTGTCGCCATGCTCATGTTATTAATTTCATTTGAGTTCAGATTCCCCAGGGATAGAAAAAGTGCATGCTAAATATTAGCCCCAAAGGACTCAACACAGGGTGGGGATGTTGATGACGGCGATGATGGTGATGATATAAGTCACGATGAAAGTGACTGTGGTGACGTTGGTGATGACAGGATAGTGGTGGGTGTGTCATTTTGGAGCCTGGCCATTAAGTTCGCGAACCATCCTAGAAAACTGCTCCATCCCTCATTGCTGAGTATCACTATGGTCACCTTCGAAGGACTCCCTTTGGGAAGCTATGCACTGATGCCAGCACCTCGTCCACCCATCAGAGCAATTTTGGAACTCTTCTTCTGGAATGGCCATCATAGCTGTTGCTGCGTTTGCCTTGATGTCCCGAATGTCATCAAAATGTCTTCCTTTCAATATTTCCTTTATCTTTGGGTAAAGAGAAAAGTCACCGGGGGCCAGATCAGGTGAGTAAGGAGGGTGTTCCAACACAGTTATTTGTTGACTGACTAAAAACTCCCTCGTGGACAGTACTGTGCGAGCCGGTGCATTGTTGTGATTCAAGAGCTCCTTCCAGACCATTTTTGCACACACCTTTCTCATGCCAAGATTTTCAGTTATGATTTCCCTAAGTGTTTCTCTGTCGATGTTTATTTGGTCTGCTATGCTTCTTACAGTCAGTTGATGATTTTGACACAAATTCGGAGAATTTTTTCAATGTCTTCATCAGTTCTCCTCGTTATTGGTTGTCCTGACCTCTCTTCATCAATGATGCTTTCTCTCCCCCTCAGGAAAATGTTTAATTCATGTGTACACTGTTGTTTTCTTCATGGCACTATCCCCCATAAACTTGGACTAATATATCCCTGATCTCACTTCCACTCTTGCCAAGTTTAGCAAGAAATTTAATGTTTGTTCATGGCTCTAATCCCAGCTCTGGCATTCTCATGATAACAGCTCTGCGACCATTCCAGAAACAGAGTTCCAAAACTGCTTTGATAGGTGGACTAGGCGCTGGCATAAGTGCATAGTTTTCCAATGGGAGTACCTTGGAGGCACCCATAGTGATATTCAGCAATGAGACATGTAGCACTTTTTCTAGGATGAGTTCACAAACTTAATTGTCAGACCCCGTATGTTGATGACAGTCACCATTTATTGAACACTGGTTATGTTCAAGGCACTTCACATGCAATTTATCATTTAATCCTTACATGAACCCTGTGAGGATGGTATTCCTCCTACCCACAATTAAAGATGGAGTTCAGGCTCTTGTAGGTAAATTGACATGCCCATAGTCACACGATCAGCGCTTAAAGCTCTATCATTCCTACTCGGAGTCCTGACACTAACCATTACCCTAAATCACTCCCTGGGATTCCACGAATTGCCTTCCCTTTACTTCTTTAACATGGAAAAGGGACATTTAAAGATTTAACGCTCAGGCCAGTTGCGGTGGTTCAAGCCTGTCATCCCAGCACTTTGGGATGCTGAGGCGAGTGGATTGCCTGAGCCCACGGGTTCGAGACCAGCTCGGGCAACTTGGCAAGACCTTGTCTCTACAATAAATAAATTTAAAGATTATCCGGGCAGGGTAGCATGCGCCTGTAGTTCCGGCTCCTTGGAAGGCTGAGGTGGAAGGATTGCTGGAGCCCAGCAGTTCGAAGCTGGGTGGCCATGAGCATGCCACTGCACTCCAGCCTGGGCAACGGAGTGAGACCAACCCAAAAAATAAAAATAAAAAATAAATAAAGATGTAACACTCAACATTAGTTCACGAAGGCACCAAAGTTGTACTTATACATCTTCTGTAAAGAATACCAAGCATTAAGAATCTTGGAAAAGAAGTTAATGAATTATTAAGATGACCTTTGGGCCATCAGAATCTTAACTGCTGACAGTTTTAGTCAATAGCAAATGAGAATTTTTTCCAATTTTCTATGGAGAGTAAAATTATAATATCAACCTTCACTGAGACCTCAAGGTATGCCAAGGATTGTGCTAGGAGATTTACATTGCACTGACTCATTCAATTCTTCAACCCTGTAAGGTGGACATTATCACATTTTGGGGTGAGAAAATTGCAAATAAGACTCAGAGAAAGTAGGCAGTTTACCCAGGGTCACACAGCAACCTACTCAATGGAAGAACTGGGATTAGAGTTGCAGTCTCTTTGAGCTTATGGTAAATTATGCCAAATATTCCAGACTCACTCCCTCTAGTGCCCCTCATTACAAAAGAATTGCTTGTTCCCTTCCTGGTGGACTCAAGTATGGCCATGTGACTTGCTTTGACCAATGAAATGAGAGCAGAACTAATGGGCATCACTGCTAGGAAGAAGCTTTAAGAGCTAAACTGTGCTTTGCCATGACGTCTTTTTCCTTTGCCACAAAACCATCATTGTTCTAAACAGGGGACCACCTTCAGTCTGGGTCCCAGAGGGAAGACAATGTGGATCAAATCACAATGATGTAGCATGAACAAAAAAAAATAAACGTTGGGACACAAGGGGCTATTTGTTACTGCTGCATAAACTACCTTAGCCTGACTGATGCATGCTCTTAAGAGATGTGTTAGGATGCTGAATGGATGAAACCCAGAGCCCACGGTCTACCCAACCAGCACCTAAATCCTCTTCTCAAAATCAAGACAACCCCAAAATACAAAAACAAGAGGTCAGGGAAGAGTGAGAATGTGAACAACCATTCAGTAAGACTCTGGGACTAGACTGATGAGAGACAAAATAATAAGCCCTTAGACCGGGTTCAGTGGCTCACACCTATAATTCCAGTGATTGGAGAGGCTGAAGCAGGAGGATCTCTTTGAGACCATCCTGAGCAACACAGCGAGACCCTGTCTCTACAAAAAAGAATTTTAATTAGCCAGTTGTGGTGGCAGCCTGTAGGGAGACTGAGGCCGAAGGATTGCTTGAGTCCAGGAGTTTGCAGCTGTAGTGAGCTCTGATCATGTCACTGCACTCCAGCCTGAGGGACAGAGTAAGACCCTGTCTCAAAATAATAATAATAATAATAATAATAATAATAAGCCTTACCTGGCGATTAAGGAGACAATGCACTACAAAGAGTAGCACCCCCTGCAGGACGTTGATGATGGTAAATGCGTAGGTATTGACTAATTCGAGGGTCTTCCCTACACCTTCAACCATAAAAAAGCCAAGGCCCCAAGAACAGCCCAGGATAAACAGTTGAGCAATGGCTTTAAATGTCATGACTCTGGGGGAGAAAAAGAGTAATAATAACGACAGTTCATCAGGCACTGATTGTGCATTGAGTTCACATTAGTGCTAACAAAATGCTTTTTGTGAATTCCCTGACATAACCCTCACAACAACCTCCCACAGTTATTACGTGACAGGTGTAAAGTCACACAGCTTGACGATGACTACATCCATGTTGCAATCACTGCAAATCACTGAGCATCATGTCTTTTCCCACTCCAGGAAATGACTTCTCTGCAAAAGCTTCTACCTGGAAGATCTGTGGGAAATGCCTTCCAGAAATCTGTACTGAAAAATACGGAGGCGGAGCATCATGCCTGTAATCTCAGCGCTTTGGTGGAGGCCAAGATGGGAGGATTGCTCGAGAGTTCCGGGCCAGCCCGAGCAACATAGATCTCATCTCTACAAAGAATTAAAAGTTAGCCAGGTGTGGTTGTATACTCCTGCAGTTCCAGCTACTCAGGAGGCTGAGGTGGGAGGACTCATGAACCCAGGAGGTTGTGACTGCAGTGAGCTGTGATCGTGCCACTGCACTCTAGCCATGGGAACAGAGTGAGACTCCAACCCCCCCAAAAAAAAAGCAAAGAAAATTTTAGATGACAATGATTTCCTGATTTTAGAAGATGCATAGTGTTGGGTTTCTCGAAAAATAAATTGTGTTTCACGGAATGGAATGGGATTGTGGGTTGCAACTGACTGGAAGAGCTGATGTATGTGTGTGAGAGTGCATGCGTGTGTGTGTGTGTGTGTGTGATAAACCTTCACTCATAGACACTTGTATCGGGAAAGGGGTTACACCAAGCAGAGTGACACTCTGACACTCCCGGATTGAGGCAACTGAACATAAGAGATGTCAGGTTGGTCTGGAAAATCCATGAGACCAAAGCCAAGGTCTGGAATTGAGTAGCTCCCTTTAAGTTGTATCCACATGTGACTCACCAAAGCCCAATACTTACTCACCCTTGGGTAAGATGGGCCATTGGCTCATGTTATCAACAGGGGTTTTAAGTAACATCACCATGTTGGTTGGAGTTCTATGCATTCCGTAAAATGATGTCAGTCAACACACAGCATCTACCAAATTCCTACTTGATATCAGTTGTTGCCATCTTTCTTTTTAATAGATTAGACTGGTACCAGTGACAATTGAGTTTCTACAACCAAGGAGAACAGAGTCTTGAAGTGGATGGACTCTAAGGGTTGGGGAGAGGATGATGTTGTGGATACTCTATTTTTTTTTTTTTTGAGTTGGAATCTCACTCTGTCGCCCAGGCTGGAGTGCAGTGGCATGCTCATGGCTACCACAGCCTCGACCTGCTGGGCTCCGGCGATCCTCCTGCCTCAGCCTTCCAAGTAGCCAGAACTACAAGCATGCACCGCCAAGCCTTGTTAATGTTTTAATTTACTGTAGCAAAGATGACTTACCAAGTTGCCCAGGCTGGTCTAGAACTCCTGGACTCAGTCAATCCTCTCACCTTAGCCTCCTAAAGTGCTGGGATTACAGGCTTGCGCCACTGTGCACTGAGAATGTTAATACTCTTAACATTACTTTCATGTGAAGAATGCAGTGTACAGAGGAGATACTTGATGAATATTCCTCGAATAAGGTAATGGAGGAGAGCCTTCAGTTACTTGAAAATCATAGTTTCGCTATGCTGCCCAGGCTGTTCTCAACTCCTGGGCTCAAGCAATCCTCCCACCTTGGTCTCCCAAGATGCTGGGATTACAGGCATGAGTAATAGTTTCTATTCTTCTTTAATTGTCTTTCTTATTTTTTAGTATTTTTTTTACATTTTGTTATTTTAAAAATTTTTACTTTAAAGATGTGGGGTACAATTCAGGCTTAGATATACAAATGATCATTGTACAGGTAAAGTTTGGGCCTCCCTTTGGTCCCCACTTCACTTGGCTTTAGATCAGGTACCCTTATTGATGCCCCCTGCAGTTCCCCCCTACTGCCAATCCCTTTCTTATAGTATTATGATAATTGTTCAGGGTCCACTTATGAATGAGAACATGTGATACACAGTTCTTTGTTTCTGTGATAGATCACTGAGTATCTAGCACCAGAAATATCTTACTTCTGTGTGGGTTATTTCTTTCTCAGGAAGAGTGATTCTGTAAGAACAATCTGTGAGTACTACTGATTCTGGTAGCTTCTTACCTGGTGTCCTGAATAGTCGAGACTTCTTTGTTGAGGGAGGAAAGTTTACTTCTCAAAATCCATAGAACTTGGAAGTAGAACAGTAGGTTTATCTGTGGAAGTAGCATGAAAAAACAACTTGAAATTTTCTTTTGCGGTCATTTCATGCAGTCCAACTGCAAGTGGACCTAAGATTCTTTTCCCAAAAGATATAGGCTTAATAAGGAGAGCATAGGCTGGGTGTGGTCACTCACACCTGTAATCCCGGCATTTTGGAAGGCCGAGGCAGGAGGATTGCTTGAGCCCAGAAGTTTGAGACCTGTCTGGGCAGCATAGCAAAACCTTATCTCCACAAAATAATCAAAAAATTAGCCAGGTGTAGTAGTGCATGCCTGTAGTGTCAGCTGAGGCAGGAGCTACTCAGAAGGCCTGGAGGGCAAGGCTGCAGTGAGCATGATAGTGCTACTGCACTCTGGTCTGAGTGACAAGAGTGAGACCTTGATGCAACAACAAGAACAAAAATGACAGTATGGACATAGACTCAGCATACACCCTATGGTTATCAGTGCTTTACTAGACTGACGCTACAATTTGTCACTCAAATGTGGAACTGAAAGCAGAATGGTGTCATTAATAGCTATGCCAGGCAGCAGATGCATCCAGATAGTTCCCAGAAAACAGGAAACCATGGCACCCTATACAGAGGAAACACTCAATATTCATCAGATAAATAAATACAAGATTTTAAAACAAATCTGCACCAGAGGATTACATTATGTCAAAGCCACTGGTGACCCAGGGGTCATTTAGGAACAAACATATGAGGACAGTCTTTTCAGAAAGAGGATTTGATCACATTAGGTTGTATTTCCTTATTTTCCATCTCCTCTCCCCTTAACAGAGAAGAGACATTTCTGTATGTTTCACCAACCCAAGGAGGGCACCCCCATAATGAATAACGGTCACCTACTAAGATAATGACAGCCACTGGTCCCATAAAGCTCCAGATGAAGCCTTTATCCAGCTTGAGCCAGCAGCTGTTGAAAGAGAGAGAGAGATCAAGGTTCACTGTTTATTCCTCAGAGGAAGGCAGAGAACTCTGAAGACTGTTAGGAGGACTTTGGTCCAGAGTCCAGGTTTCAGATGGAGTCGGCTGCGGGTCCCCACCCGACACTAGCTGTGCGCACAAAGCCTGTTTCTCCGTGTGCAATATGGGGCTAATGAAAGCTTTAGAAAAGTTCTGAGGTGAGTGGATTGCCTGAGCCCGTGGGTTCAAGACCTGCCTGGGCAACTTGGCGAGACCTCATCTCTACAATAAATCAAAAATCAGCCGGGCATGGTAGCGCGCGCCTGTAGTTCCGGCTACTTGGAAGGCTGAGGCGGCAGGATCGCCAGAGACCAGCAGTTCGAGGCTGCGGTGGCCGGGAGTGGCCACTGCACTCCAGTCTGGGCGACAGAGTGAGACTCCAACTCAAAAAAAGTTCAAGGCTCGAAGTCAGCTAATGTCAGTCCTCCAACTTTGTTCTTCTCCATCAATACTGTGTTAGCATTTTCTGGGTCTTTTTTCTCTTAATTTTATTTTAAAGATGTGGGATGCACATCAGGATGAGACACATAAGTGGTCTGTGTGCAGGTAAGGCTTGGGCTCCCCACTGTTCCTCTCTTTCCCTGGTCTAGGGTCAGGTAAATGATGTGATGTTATGAGCTTCCCTCCCCCTCTTGCAGTATCGTGATTAACGTTCAGGACCCACTCTTGAGAGAGAATGTGTTTCTGCGATAGATCACCTAGTATGATAGACTCTAAATTCATCCAAGTTGCCGCAAAGTTCATAATTTTAATCTCCGCCAATAAGCTTTGGGATCAATTTGTCAAAACCCAGGAAACAATTTTCTGGGATTTTGATTGGAAATATGCTGAATTTATAGGCTGAGCTGGGGGAAAATGGCATCTTGACAATATTGAATCTTTCTACCCATAAATACGATGTATCTCTCCATTTGTTAAGGCCGTCTCTGAGATTTTTCATCAAGTTTAGTAGTTTCCCTCATGTAGAACTTGTAGGAAAGATTAAGTAAGATAATGTGCATGAAGCAGGGTTTTCAAAAAAGACTGAAATGTGGTTAGGAGTCAAATGTGCTATAAGGAGAAAGATTTGAAAAATTAACTATCACCATTAACACTACTTAGTCATACTCTGTACACCAAGTACTGTGTTGCCCAAGTGCTTTGTATTCTGTTCTGGCTTATGTTGGCAAAGATAGTATAACTTATGCTTAAAGAGGACCTGGAAGTAGGAATCTCCAACACTCAGTGGGCAGAAAATGTTCCAAACCGGAGTTATATTCCAGGGGTTTCAAACTGTGGTCCATGGGGCAATCCAGTCCACTACTTGTTTTTTGTTTTTTTGCTTGTTTATTTTGGACTCTGTCGCCCAGTCTGGAGTGCAGTGGCATGTTCACGGCTACCACAGTCTCATTCTGCTGGGCTCAAGTGATCTTTCAAGTAGATGCTCAGCCTCTCAAGTAGATGCGACTACAGGTGCATGCCATCATGTCTGGCTAATTTGTTATATTTTTTGTAGAAACGAGGTCTTGCTATGTTACCCAGGTGATCTTGAACTCCTGGGCTCAGGCAATCTTCTAACCTCCACCTCCCAAATTGCTAGGATTACAGGCATGAGTTACCCAAACCATCACTTGTTTTTGTAAATAAAGTTTTATTGAAACACAGTCATGCTTATTTATTTACATATTATTGATGCTGCTTTCACACTATAAGGGCAACGTTGTGTAGTCACCACAGAGACTCTATGCCCTGCAGAGCCAAAAATAGTTACCAGTTGGCCCTTAATAGAAAAACTTGGCAACCCGCTTCCTGACCCAAGCACCATGGTCAACACATCAGCTTCTTCAACTCATTGTTGTGTGCACAGCTCTGCAAGCTTCCTGAGGGAAGCATTAGAACACGGCTCTTCAGAGCCCGAACTTGGCAGTTCTGACTTGCTCTCCTTGTAGTTCTGACCCTGGGAAAGTTTATGACATATGCTAAGCCCCAGATGTCCTGTGTGTGAGACAGTAAACTGCTGACTTTGCAGGGTTGTGGTGAGAACGGCATGAGCTACTGCAAAGAGGAAGCATCAACTCTGATGCATCATAGGACGTTGATAGCTGGTCATATTGCTGTTAGCCTTTGCATTTGAAGATTCATCTCAACCCATTCCACCCACTCTTCCAGAATCCTACAGAACATGTAGCCCACGGGTTCTTCATGTGGGGCCATGGAGTTGCTTTGCCTGTCCCTGCATTAACTGAAATTGTATTACAAATTTCGTGTATATGTACATTTGTCTGAGGAAGAGGAGCTGTGGCTTTCATCAAAATTCTCAAAGTGATCCAACCCCAAAGATGCTGAGAGCCATTGCTGTAGAGAGAATATAAAATTCTGGCTTGGCCATGTAGCATAGCAAGACCTTGTCTCTACCAAAAAAAATTTTTTAAAAATTAGCTGGGTGTGGTGGTGCACGGTGCCTGTAGTCTCAGCAACTTAGGAGGCTGAGGTAGGAGGATCTCCTGAGCCCAGGAGGTCGAGGCTGTGGTGAGCCATGATCGTGCCACTGCACTCCAGCCTGGGTGACAGAGTGAGACCCTCAACTCAAAAAATTTGATAAATAAGTCAATAACACAAAATTCAGGCTTAAGCAAGGACCGGCTCAACGTATAACTTACAATTGGAAGACGGACTTTGATTTTAAATCACGTGGGGACCATGGACTTCCACCATAGACACACATGTCGTGCTTACTGAGTCAAGGTTCCATAATTTCTGTGTCCAACGGCGGCCGACACGGCGACAATCACAGCTGGGATCCCATAGCCGAAAGGGTACATGAACCTCTTCTTGAATCTGCCGGCGCTGGTGTAGTTGATCACCTTGAGATTCCTCACCGTCAGGAAGAGGTGCAGCCCCTCCAGGAGCATCCAGGTGAAGGAGGCCAGGTAGAGAAAGTGCAGCAGCCCGGCGACGACAGAGCACAGCACCTGGAGGGAGAGGAACGTGGGGTGTGGGGGGCAGATGAGATCTGTCCATGACTATAGCCTCAGCGTTTCCTGGAAGCCACCTGGAATTTCCACTGGGACACCTGTGACAATTTGCCCGGGGGCGACACGTTTTCTGGGGAATCTCGCTGGCCTTTGACGTCTGCTCACCTCATGCATGGAACAGGACAGAAAACCAAGGAAGAGATGTCCTGGGAGCAGCCCCCGAAAGGCATAAAGGACAAAAATTGGAAGATGAATACTCCACTGCCTGGGACCGTTGGTGGGTGAGTCTAAGGCCTTTGCTCTATGCTGCCTCCTGGGGCTCCTCAGTGGAATTAGGCTCCAGTTGTCCCCAGTGGAAACGGTCTTAAAAAACCATCTATTTGATGACTTTTTTTTTCCTGTGTTGAGAGTTGTTTTTTTAAAAAAATTAATTACTTTTTTTATATTCAAGGCCTACGTGTGCAGGTCTGTGACATAGGTCTGTGGCGTGATGGTGAGCCTGTCACCCAGGTGGTGAGTCTTGTACCCAGTAGGTGACTTTCAACGTGGCTTCCCAGCTCTCTGTCCCCACAGGAGTCCCAGGTGTCTGTTGTCCCTATCCTTGTGCCTGTGTCTCTTCAGGGAGACTTTTTAGGGAGAACATCTGCAATTCCATTTTCTATTTCTGCAATTCCATTTTCTATTTCCCTCAGGATGAGGGAATGGAATCTGCGATTCCATTTTCTATTCCATTTTCTAATTCCCTCAGGATGATGGTGTCCATGTTGCTGCCAAGGACTCAGCTTGGTTATTTGTTATGGCTGCGTAGTATGCCATAGTGTATCTGGATCACATTTTTCCTTGTCCAGTCCACTGATGGCCATCTAGGTTGGGTCCATGTTTTTGCTATTGTGAATAAGGCTGCAATAAACATGTGTGTGGGCTGGGCTCAGTGGCTCAGCCTGTAATCCCGCGCCTTTGGGAGGCTGAGGTGAGTGGATTGCCTGAGCCCGCGGGTTCGAGACCCGCCTGGGCAACTGGGCGAGAACTCATCTCTACAATAAATCAAAAAATTAGCCGGGCGTGGTAGCGCACACCTGTAGTTCCAGCTACTTGGAAGACTGAAGCGGAAGGATCGCCGGAGCCCAGCGGGTCGAGGCTGTGGTGGCCGGGAGCGGCCACTGCACTCCAGTCTGAGCGACAGAGTGAGACTCCAACTCAAAAAATAAATAAATAAATAAATAAACATGTGTGTGCAGGTGTTTCATTTAATGACTTTAAAAAAATTAAACATTTATTATCATAGTTAATATGTCATTTTTTTCAGTGGGTAACAGTGGAAAACATATTTTAATGTGTTTAAAATTTATCCAAAATCCCTCCCATTGATTTGCACTATTCAATATATTGCTTGGTTTTAAACTGAATTTTTCCTAGAATGGAAAGGCTTAATTTTTTTTTCTTAAAAAGTAAACTGAATTTTAACTTTGGGTTACTACTTATTAGCAACATTCTCAGATTCACCAGCATAACTTCTATTTTTACAGTCATCCTGGCAAAATAAATAAATAAATAAATAAATAAATAAATAACCAGAGATCTGTCGCCACCTGTGAAATTGTTTTTCTTTTTGATACGCTGTCTGAATCTGTAGGAATTTGAACAGTGTGCATTCCACCATCATAAAGGGGTTTCTATGTGTAAACCTCAGTTACCTGGCACTGTAACTTTGGTATGTTTGCAATAATATCTTAGTGTCCCTTTTAAATTAATGTCCCAGACATCTGCCTTGTTGGCCACCCCATTAAGCTAACTCAACACAGAATGACTCAGGAAGAAGGAAGTCTCACAATGACAAAGTGCATGAGGTTTATCTAGGCAAGAACCCAAGCAGAGCCACAAAGTAACTTCATGACTGACACCAGGATACTTAATGGCTGCATTCCTGTCTCTGTCTTATTCCCCACCCCCAACCTGGGCCAATGTTTCTTGGATCAGTCCCAAAGAAGCAATCTGTACTCCAGCCCTTGTTGCAGAATCAGCTTGGGGGACAGAAAGTAAATGAACAAATGGAATGCAACCTCCAGCATTCACCAGAGCTGCCCCGACACAAATAAAAGTATTTTTAGGGCAACCTTGCATCATTTTCCACAGATGGAAACACCAGGGTCACCTGCCACACACAAGATAGTCATATACATAAATACTAAGAAAGTAAATATTAAAATGTATGTGTGTGTTTACTGCAGCATTATTTGCAATAGCAAAAACATAGGACCAACCGTGCTGCCCATTGAAAGAGTACTGGATAAAAAAATGTGGTACATATGCATGATGGAATATTATGCAGCCATAAAGAAGGACAAAACTGAACACTGCAGCAAGTTGGGCAGACTTAGAGTCTATCATACTGAGTGATCTGTCACAGAAACAAAGAACCCAATACCACATGTGCTCACTCAGAAGCGGACCTTGAACAATGATCATAATACTATAAGAAGGGGATTGGCAGTAGTTGGAAACTGTCAGGGGAGGGGGGTGGTGGGATTAGCAGTAGTAAGAAACTGCCAGGAGAGAGGAAACACACCTCATCAACAAGGGTACCTACATAATAAACACTTATATACCAAACCCTGAATTGTATCCCACGTCTTCAAAATTGAAAATTTAAAAAAAAACGTATTTCTGCTTCTGATCTAGACACATCTCAAGTACCACCTTTTTTTCTTTTCTTTTGTGGGGTACAATTCAGGGTTAGGTATACAAATGTTCATCATGCTTAATGTACTCTTGTTGATGAGGTGTGCTTCCCTCCCTTGGCAGTTTCCCACTACTGCCAATCCCTTTTTCATAGTATCTCCTTTTTTAAAGCACTTTCCTAAACTAGCTAAGCCATACGGCATATACATATATGCAGTATATATTGCATTATATGTAATTATTATTCCATCGGAAGAAGAAATCCTACCATCCTAGGTGACACTGGGTTGTGATGTTTCTCTCCCACAGCAGAATGTTTTAAATTGAATGGCTAAAATACTTCTAGATCTCCTTTAGTTAATAAAGTGGGTTTTAAAAATCTTTATTTTATTATAAAGATGTGGGGTGTGAGTCAGGATTAGGTACCTAAGTGGTCTACATGCAGGTGAAGTTTGGGCCTGCAACTGGTCCTCACCTCCCCGGGTGGAGGGTCAGGTACCCTTAGTGATGTGATGTGTCTTCCCACCCCCTCACTCCCAGCACAGTTTCTTGAGACTTGCCGATACCTCTCTTGCATTATGGTGATAAAGGTTCAGGACCCACTTACGAGAACATACAGCATTCAGTTCTTTGTTTCTGTGATAGACCACTGAGTCTGATAGACCACTGAGTCTAAATCCATCCAATTTGCTGAGAAGGCCGTAATGTAAATCAAAACCACATGCTGGTGAGGCTACGGAGAAGAGGGAAACATGTCTATTCTGTGGGTGGGAATGCAAACTAGTTCAACCTCTATGGAAAACAGTGTGGTGATTTTTAAAAGAACTAGAAATTGATCTCACATATGACCCAGCAATCCCCCTTCTGAGAATATATCCGGAGGAACTCAAATCATTTTACAGAAAAGATACTTGCACACTCAGGTTTATTGCAGCACTACTCACTATAGCAAAAACATGGAACCAACCCTGTTGCCCATTGACAGTGGACTAGATTTTTAAAAATGTGAATTGTACTTCACATCTTTAAAATATATAAAATAAAATAAAACAAATGTGGCACATAGGCACAGTGGAGTATGATGCAGCCATTAAGTGTCTTTTAAAAGAAATTGTTCCTGCTATGTTGAGGTATGACTGACAAATAAAAAATTACATATATCTAAGGTTCAAAACATGATGTTTACCTTGTGTGATGATCCCACAATCAAACTAATTAACATACCCATCACCTCATATAGCTATCATTTTTGTGTGTACTGTAGGAAAACCTATAGTCTACTCTGCTAGAAAATTTCAAGTATACAAGATATTATTATTTTTAATTTTGAAAGTTGTACTTTTCTGTAGGTATAATTGACAAAACTCGTATAGATTTATGGTGTACAATGTGATGTCTTGTCATACAGGGGTGCCAAAAAAATGCATGCACATTTTAAGGGATGTTATCTATGTATTAATGTTCAAAGATGAATTAAATTATTATAGCAATGTGTAGCATGACATTCGCTCAACCATGCCTCTGCTGTTTTCTTTCACTGTTCTGCCTGTTGCCTGGTGACACTAGCATTCATTTGATTCAAGCCGTCTTTTGCTCAAACATGATACTTAAAATATATTTACACTTTTTTGGCACCCCTGTATGTGTTCATGTTGGTTCATAATTAAATCAACCTAAGTAACTATTATCACCTCACATACTTATTTTTTTTGTGATAAAAACAAGGGTACCTGCATAATCAACGTTTACATACCTAACCCTGAATTGTACCCCACATCTTTATAATAAAAAAATTAAAAAAAAACCATTTAATAGCTGCTCTCTTAGCTGTTTTTAAGTAGGCAATATATTGTTATTAACTGCGGTTACCATGCTATACATTAGATCTCTTGAATTCATCAAGAGTCTTCTTGAAAACTTGTGAAAGGGGTCTTCATTCTGAAGGCTCTCATGATTCTGTACCAATCAGAATCTGTATGCCTTTTCTCATATAAAAAAAAGAACTAGTGATTAATTTACCAACTTAAAGATTTCCAATGACCTCTCACTGAAGTATGAACAGTATTCTATATTATATTGATGTTTAGAAACTATGAAAAAAGCTTGTATTTTATTCAAGTTTGCCTTTACAATAAAATTGTAGGTAAAAACATTCTGAAAACATAAATCATAGTGGGGTTTTATCATCTTGGGAATCAGGGCTTAGGTTTGTTGCCTGATATGAAGAGAAAACCCAGTATGGTTTACTTACATCAGAAGAGATTTTTTTTTAAACTGTATTTTATTATAGGGATGTACAACTCAGGATTAAGTACATA